TACTCCTTTGATGTCCCACCAAATTCAAAGTATCACTTTCTGCGGATGGATTCCAGGTTTATGGGTCGGAACTGGTTTTTGTCTAGGACTGAGACATTGTTTTTGGAGTTTAATATTCGCATAGAGAATCCATTTTTCATCACCGTTGACAATTCTGTCCAAAAATGGTTCACGCGCCGAAGAGGCGAAACAACGCTCACACGTTCGAAACAATGATTATCGGAGAGTTCGTGAGGCACCCAAACACCTTCTTTATGGAGTTTTACATATTATTTAGATGTTTACGTATTGTTTCATGAGAGACATGCAATTTCAGGGCCATTTCACGAGTGTGTTGCCTTGGGTTAGACTCAACACGTGTCTTCAGAGCATCAATATCAATTCCAACATGTCAGCCCCTGCCATCACAGTTTTTAAGACTAAAGTCACCTAAACAAAATTTGCTGAACCATCGATGACACTTACGAACGTTCAAAACATTTCTATCAACTTCTTTGATATTCTTTGAGGCTACAGAGGCGTTGTTTCCCCTTCTTGTATTCAAACAGCCTTACATGGCAAATGTGTGTCTCATCGTGTGCCATCACTATAAGGGATTAGAATATACTAAAGTTTACATATTATATAGGCTACACTAACGTTTATGCAGTTCGTTTAACTATTATACATGATGTACGTTTTTAGGAGGGTGGTTAATAAAAGTGTTACAAAATGCGACAATTATTTCTTGATGACCTAATACATACACTGGCAAACTAAATTATCAAAATTTGTTTATACAAACTTGCTCTAACACAAAATTGTTTAAATACTTATGTTCTTAGCTCCATTGTTAACTCAAACACTTGCTATTCTCATTACACAATTAATATCAGTGTCCTGAAAAGTTATTGAAACTGTGAGTCATACATATTGTGAAGAGATTAAAGTAAACTGATTATTTTTCTCACTGACTTCTTCAGGTTTGTCACATTATAAACTGGAAGCAGACAAAACAAAGCATCTAGAAACTGACTGTTTCTAAACAATAACTAACTTACAGAAAAAAAACTCATTTGTACAAAAACAATAAGAGATGAATAACAATTTTGCATTTGAAAAGAAAGCCAGCATATACATGAGACAGTAAAGACACCACTCATATTCATAAACTCAAAATCCACTAAATTCATGTCTTGAGAAGACTGAAACATACATGTTGGCCAGATATTATACGAAGATGCAATATTTAATTCACTTCCCTGATATCAAAAATTTGTAGGACAGTTGTTCTAATTTTAGAAAAATTAAGTTTGTTATCATTTTCTTTGTAAGCTTGATTTTGTGCCTTTAAGTTCCTCGTGATTTTACCATCTAAAGAAGCACAGCTTATAAGAGGAAAAAGTAATGATAGATTGTTCAAACTTAGTTGTGCATATACTTAAAAACTCATATAAAACTTTGCTTGTTGAATATATTTGTAAATATTGTGTTCTATAAACTCATAACAAAGCTAGTATAAAATAGGAAAATTCTCTAACACAATAGTCTTAGTTTTTTATGACAGATTTAAACACCATAGCACATTAACACTTTCAAGACGGGTCACAGGTGAAAGACCATGTCATCTCATTTATTGAGTCGCATTCAAAATTTTAATGAATGAATTTATGTCAATAAGTTTGGTATAAAACTGTTGATTATAATTAAAATTTTAATAGTATATATATATTACTCAATTTCTTAATTTAAAGGCAAATATAAAAAAAAACACAGATAAACATCGATTTTTTGTGTGTCACATGATATGCTGAATGCAGCACTGGTTCAAATTAGATGTTTGTGAAGTCAAAATACTACGTCTATAGTTTCGAACGAACTAGAATCTCAAATTACTCATATGGACAAGCTAGAATATTAAAAAAGAGCTTCTTATTTTCTCGACTTGCTGAGATATTGCAAGTGAGCTACGTCGTTGTAACTTCTGTATTGTTAGCCAGACAAAGCTGAAAGGTCAATATAATAAAAACAATAAATATATATAAATGTATAATGTTACAAAATGTAAGCTATTTCATCTACACATTTATGTTCTCATATTATAATTTGTGTTCATTCTAGAATGAAAGAGGCATAATTTATATTTATTTCTTATTTTTTATGGTGGTTGTGAGATCAGTCAAACCCACCAAACCTGTACATAGATTAATTACTGAAAATAACAGATAAAATATAAAGTTTTTTCTTAAGAAACATTTGACAACTATCTCAACATTATAAAGATTTTGCATGTGAAATTTCAAAATTTTCTAATGCATAAAAGTATTTTTAATTTTAAAATGAATATTACTTTACATGATAGACAGGCAACATGTGAAAAGAAAAACAGACGTGAGAAAAACCTTGGTTTATAAACCTTAAGATTTAATAAAAAAAAATAGATATTTTGCTTACACAATCGCTTACTAATTTAAAAGTTATAGCATGAAAACTATAACAAGGACAAAATGGTTATGAGGTCAGTCCCTCGGACTGAGCTGATGCTGAAAAAGTTAAGCTAATACAAATCTAGCAAATTTGTTTACGACTGTAAAATACAAATTGAATGACAAATTAGAAGAATGGAGGAATTTATCTGTAAAAAAAAAAAAGACATTAACATAAAGTACAAAAAATGTAAATGTGTTTTAAGACCATGTCACTTCACTAATTAAAGAAAAACACTTTAACGCAAACATAAAAAAATAAAGTAATAAAAATCTCATTGCAAAAAACAAGTTTAACTATCAAATATTTACTTTTTCAAACTGAAACTCACCAAATCTGCTTTTGCTAACAATGGTGATGATAATGACTTTAAACTTGATTCTTTTCTTTGGGCACAAACAACACTTTGACCTAGAAAAATAAAATATAAAACCTATCTGTCTGGCTATTTTACATAAGTTTAAAATTAGAAAAGAAAACATTCGTAGAAATTCAAACTTGCAGCTTTGTTGTTATTTTTACACTGCCCCACCCCCAGAAAACACTTGTGGGAATCGGAATTTACAGCTTCATTGCTATTCTTTAAACTCCTCCTCCCATTTTTAAATGATTATATGACATACATTTAATCAATGAAAATACATGGAAATACAAATAAGATTGTTGTTAAACAAACACAAAGCTACACAATAAGCTATCTGTGCTCTGCCCACCATGGGTATCAAAACCCAATTTTTACGGTAGTAATCCTTCAGAATTGCTTCTGAGCCACCAAGGAATATAAGTAAATAAGTAACCTAGTTAAAAACGGATGGAGCAGATTACTGATATAAAACCAGGTAAAGTTAGCTAGAGAGAAGAACCTTGACAAAATAAAAATTACTAAACCCAAAAATTATTAATATTTCTTACACTACTCAGTAATAGTATTATAACCTTTTACAGAAAATTAAATATACAATGAAAAAATTAAAACTGTTTCATTATTATAATATATACATAAATATTATTGAAAAGTATACAGTTCACTTTAATAGTAATCACACAATCAATTTGTTATAATAACATTTTCTTTTGAAATATATTTTAGGAAACAAGTCAAACCTTCAACACCATCAAAAAATGCATGTTATAAAAGAAATTTAACATACAATTCAGCTCACAAAGAAATGAATAGAAATCAGACTTTAAGTTCATTACAAAATGGTAAAAAACAGATATGGCAGAACAAGGTTGCAAATATTGATAACTGAGCAGAATAATGTTAAAATAATAGACAAATCCTAAAATTGCCAAGACATTTTGAAAGGTTGACATATTTCTAAAACTACTTTTAAGGATACGTCAAGTCTTTTTTTTTTTGCCAACTTTACTTCAATCTATTTTGAATAACTCTATTTTTTTTTAGCCATGGCATAGCACCTCAAAGAATGGCTCCGAGTTTTTTTTTTTAAGTATAAGCTTGTAGCTCATAGCTCTGTCACCTCTCAATACTTTTGGACTCGAGATGTCAAACCTTTCGACTGATGTATTTGACCACGCCCAAGGTCTCATAGAATAATTTACTCTAATCCTGCCTAAAAGATGTTCAGTTTGAGAATAGGCTGGTAGAGATCGGGATGAGTAATAAAATTGAATTGGGCATAAGTGAGCCCCACACTTGGTATTGCTGATGCACAAAATATAGATAATAAAAAGGAAAAAAAGGTCTGATAGATTAATTTACTCTTAATCCTGCCTAAAAGAATTTCAAGTGCCACAGCTACTGAGGATTCCCTCTTGTTTATCATTTTTCCTTCATTTTCTGATAACATTGTTTTCTGTATGTTAGGTTTTTGAGGTGCACGGGACCCAAGAAAGGCAACCAAATCACTGCCAAATATATACAAGTAACTTAAGGGTTTTAAACCATTGTTTCTTAATTTGTTTTTTATTAACTGTCCCAGCTATTAGTAGACGATCAACATCACACTTGTGTCCTTGTTATACACAACTAGTGTTTAGTATAAAATTTCTTACACTTGTGCTAGTGAGCGATCAACACTCTCTTCATTACTTAAAATGGACAATACCTAACATATCATTAAATACATAAATTACCATGAAAAAAAACTAGGTCAATGTACAAACTATGATTTAAGAAAAGACTGATTTGTATCAAATAAGTGAAATGCATCATAATACACTGCTGGCAAGCAGTTGTCATTAGCTTCACAAGCTCACAATCTATATTAATTACTTCTGTTACATGTAATTCACTTTTCCATTAGGTAATTTTCAGTAAGAGAGGTTTGTGAAACGGCACATTTCCAGATTTTAAATAACTACAGAATAAGTTGCTAAATCTCTAAAATGGGTCTGAAAAGTACCTAGTTATACACAGGTAAACTATCTCAAATCCGGCATTCCGAAAAAACTTGGATATTCCAGAAACCGCCTATTCTAGTGAACACTCCATTAACTTGGAGAAATTCCTTACACCTGTACTTTTTATGTTACTGATGCAGACTTTCAACTTAAAATTAAAGAAAATTGCACTAAAAATTACTGTAACAATTACTGTATAAATAGGTAAATAAAAACAAGTAAGCAAAAGTCTCTTTAAGGCTTAATTTTAGATTAATTACCAGCATATCTGCTTTTTTTTGGGAGTGTGTGGTGAATCGATGCAGTACATGCAGTCTCAGTTCAAACCTGCACTGGTTGTGCAGCCCTCTCTCTGTTTTAACTTGCATTTTTTTTATCCCATGAAAATGACCAAAAGGTAAGTAAATAACAACCTTTATGTATGTATTTCATACTTTATTTTTTTCATCTGTACATCAGACAACCCAAAAACCAGAAAATTCTGAAATTCTGTGTGGCTCAGGTCCCAAGCATTCTGGATTTGGGATATGGTACTTGTAATCATATGTTTAATGCTCATCAGTTATTTTGAAGCACAGCCTTAATTATTGCCAAGAAGTGAGTTAATTATTAAAATTTAACACTAGTTGTTTTTGTTTACATGCCTAGTGTTGATAAATTTAAAATGTACTTCATTTGATGGAGCTTATTTTTTTAGGAAATGATAAATATCATGCAATATAACATTTGAACAAAAGAACAGACACAAATTACAGGGTACAATATCTGTCTAGCACTACAAAAGCAAAAGGACACTGAATTGTTGGAAAATATTCAAATAAGGGTTACCAAGATGATATCTGGAGTGGAAAGGTTGCTATAACGAACACAGGTTAATCTTATGTACTGGGTACATAAAGCACGTACTGGAGATTTAATGTTTACTATAATTCTGAAGCTACTTCATGAATCTTCACAGCTTTTGGCAAGCTCTCAGTAAAAATATGTCATACATAAAACATCAGATTTTTCAAAAAAGTCTTTGTACTGAAGAGTTGTCTATGAATTTCCCAAATCAGTCTGACTCAGATTCTGACTTGTCTGAGTGAAAGGGTGAATTTCAAATTACAGTGATGGTAAAATTATTGCATAATGCAATTTTTTCACACTTTTCTTCCTACCTGTATTTTTTACAAGATTATGAATTGTGAAAGTGTCAGAACTAGTGTAAAACAGTGATGGTAAAATTATTGCATAATGCAATTTTTTCACACTTTTCTTCCTACCTGTATTTTTTACAAGATTGTGAATTGTGAAAGTGTCAGAACTAGTGTAAAACAGTGATGGTAAAATTATTGCATCATGCAATTTTTTTCACACTTTTCTTCCTACCTGTATTTTTTACAAGATTGTGAATTGTGAAAGTGTCAGAACTAGTGTAAAACAGTGATGGACATTGTGTAGTGTAAGCTGACTTATATTTCAGCCATCCAATTATATATATGCATTTCTACTAACAAAACATCTGTGACAAATGTATTATAGCAAATGATCAACAGATACTTGGCAAGTACAAAAATTAGTAAGAAAACCTATATTTAAAGATAACGCTACTGACATAATTGATAAAAAATGGTCACAGGGTCTGTTTCTGATTTTAATATTTGGCCTTGATAACTGCTTGATACCAACCAGCATGGCACAACATGCACGATGGACAGAATGTAGGCAAGGTTGAGTTCATGATGCCACAAGCAGATAAATGCTTCCTGTAGTTTTAAGGTTCTTCTCGGTTTCTTCTCCTGCACTTTGTAACTCATCACCTTTGAGTAATTTGGATAGGGTTGGTTGAGATCTGGGCTGTTGTCTGACCAGCATAGTGTTTTAACCTTCTCCTTTCACTTAACCCTATTGCCTCGGGTACCCTTTACTGCGCATGACACAAGATCTTAGTGTCTTACATTCAAAATTTTATAAAACTACTTTTTATGTTATACCAATTAGAATAGCATAAAATCTTAGCTAACAATACATATTTTAATAGTATACAAGTTTTAAGTTCTTAATTCTACAAGGAAATATTTTTAAAAATCCTGAATTTCAGCTAGTGTGACACACATGACACATTTTGTCTTAGCATGTCATGATCCCTATTTTATCCATCACCTCTCAAAAATATACAAAATTAAACGTAAAATGCTCTCTATAAAATCATTATTGCTCAAACAAACTATAATTTTAATAGCTTCTACTTTGTTTGGTTACAGAGCTATCAAATAGAAAATTAGACCCCTCTTGTCACACCCACCTGTCACATCCTCACTTTCACAATCATTTGATAATTCTCTCTTACATTTCATTATATATTACCTATAAATAATAGAAAGTCAAGGTTTTCATCTATCAAATAACATTGTATTCTGAACAAAATATCATCAATTTCACTCACAGTGCAAGATTCATTCCCATGGGAAAGTTAACGACTAGCTTGGGTGAATTTGTAACGTCCCTTGTCACTTAGTTAGAAAGCCAGGAAAATTTTGAAATGTAAGTGAATTTGTCTATTTTTGCATGTTATTAGTATATATTCTTTGGTACATTATTTAATTAAATAAAAATTATTAAGTTCATTACTATGTACAGTATAATAAATTAGGGTTAACTCTCTTCAAAAACCCGAGGGCAAAAAAAAAAGAAAATTGGGTTAGTACTTTATTTCTTGTTTTTCATATTTATTCTATATTTATTATTATAAAAGTAACTAAAATCTAGAAATACAGATCTTTTTAAGTTATTTAAGACTAGATTAGGTAAAATAACAATAATATAATTAAAATGGTTCACCAGGCATGCACACATTCCCCGATTGATTTACAACTTATAATGGCATGGACAGTAGTTAGACACAGTTCAAAGGACAATAAAAAAAGGTCGTTCTAGAAAGAAAAAAAAGGTTAATTTAGATTTATTTCGATTTTTTTTTGGTGGTTACAAGGTCAGTTGAATTGACTGATCCTACTTTGAGATAGGTTGAGAAAATACAGATAAACTGTATTTACTGAAAAAAAACATTTGAAATGCATTTAAGAGGAAATTTGAGATTTCTAAGATGAGGAAAAGTATTTTTAATTTAAACATGAAAATTACTTTGCACATGGACTATTCAAAACAAATACTTAATATATTCATGGACAAATCTTTATTTTATTTTATTAAAAATACTTCACTAAGAAATATGAGTTTTTGTATGTAAAAGACTTGTAACATTAACTGAAAGACTGCCAAATTTGGTGAACATATACCCACTATATTGAGAGTTATAAGTATTAAATCTATAAAAACTTTAAACGAGTACAAAAAGATCATGTGGTCAGCCAAGTTAACTGAGCCAGCATTGTAAGTGTTAATGGAAGGCTTAATAGCTATTTAAATGATCAAGGTCTGGCTTTGGGTGTTTTATAGGATTAAAAATTGGAATGACTCTACCACAACGGGAGCAGCTGACATCTTTGGAATATGTGTGCCGAATTAGAAGCATGTCTGCCTAATACCATCAAACACTAATTTATGAATGAAAATAGCACCCTTCTTGTATCAAACTTTGATGTATTGTATTTTTTTTATACAGTGCAGCAAGTAACAAAGCCAATTTCATAAAATAACGTATTGGCTTGATTATAGGACGATCTCAAATATAAGGTGATCCCCATTTTCAGAAACCCTGGGAAAGAAAAAAACTGAGCATCATAACGTCCTTTTCTTAGGTCTGCAAAATCAAAACTATAACTTAACAGTCTGCAGGAAGATTAGTTGCAAGAATTAGCAATGACCTCGAGCAAACATCTATCATGAATGCTTAGTCGGATGCTATCTGGAAATTCAGGCTAGAATAGGGGGAAGGGGCTTATGGTTAGCTGCGATTATAAGGCAACTATGAATTTGACAGCTTAATTATTAATCAAAAAACATCTCCTTATAATCAGGCCAATAAAGTATACCTAAGATTACCCAACAATCTATTTACCTTGATTCTTACACTGTACATCTACTGCATAATTAGTCACTGTCTCTAAATATGTTCGCAGATCACTGAAACCAGCATTCCTCCAAGGAAGCTCTTCTTGGCAATTCATCTATCAAAATTAAAACACACTCTTGGTCATAAAACAATCATTTTCATAGTTCGAACCAGCAATAAGATCTCACACAGACATCATGGATGTCTGAACTGTTACCCAGCAGAAACTCAGTACTTATTGTTGTACATAGCAAAGTATATCTACAAACATCACAAGAAACAAAAATTATTGCATGTCTTGTCTAGAATGAAGTGTTTATCAGGAATATCAACTACACACATCCAGCTGCAGCGTAATTAGTTCGTACTTCATCAATAATTTCTAAAAAAATTAATTTCACAGATATTCATTAAGTAATAATCAGGTAGATTAAAAAATAAAAAAAACTGCAACATTGCATGAACAACGTAAAATTGGAGATGTGAAAATAAGATTTATATACACTGAATGAATAAATTGCACTTCTAACCTTATAAGTATCTTCAAACTGCTTCAATGGTATTCCCTCAGGATAAGCTAGTATCACTTTTAGAACTTTATTTTTTATATCTTCTCTAGTTTGATTCACTGTAACTGTCTTTTTTTCTTTTGAGCCTGAATTGAACATAAGAAAAAAAACATGCTAATTTCAGTAGTACTAAGATATTATATAACAGGAATTTCTACTTTAGGTTCAAACCGAAGTACTTTTGAATTTTCAACTGATATTTAATTCTGTATTATGCTACAGGAATTTTCAATACACACAAAATGAAAATGACACAAGAACTGAGTAGGTGCATTCAAACTAACTACATTGTATATTAAACTTCATTGTAATATACAAGGTGATAACACACATACTTTGATCAACATGCAAAACTATCTAGCCATTTACAATACATTATTACGATTAAAGCTTAACCTACATAATTAGGGTGTAAAGATTATATAGTATCCACTATGTACTAAATCTGCAGCAAAGGGGAGAAAGCCAAATTTTGATCTGTAAAATACATGTATTATATACTAATAATATAGTGTTTTCACACTAGAAGCTTTAAAAAATCCTTTTATAGGGAGCAAGTTTCAAGCTTGAAACAAGCAAAACTGTGATAAAATCTCAATGTGATCATTTAGTGTTACAAATAACCACAAGAAGGAAAAGTAAGGGAAGAAAATAAATACAGAGGTGTAACTAAAAAGATTGAGTTGACTACCATATTTGAATGAGTACGACTCTACATAAGGTAATAATATCACTCAGGACTATGAATATAATTATATAGAAAATAATAATTACTAGATGTACTTGCAAAGGATCCCCAAAAGTGACTAAAATAAAAAATTAAGAGTAACAAATATATTTATTTCTTGCTTTTAAAGTTCATACGTCATGCTATGTTGTAGCCCAGGGTACATAATTCTTCTCGTAATTCATGGCATGCACACATTTTACTGACATCACAGCAATACAAATTGCAACATTAACCATCCTTCATGTGACATCATTTTAGTGTCTACTGACTGACTGATAGACAACAAACTACTGTAATCTCGTTAAACATGTGACTCCTCCAGATGGCCTTTGGCCCCTTTTTGAGGAAGTAATAGAGTACACACAAGGATAGCATCTACAACGAAACACAATAGTCCTGGAACTGGAAGTTTAAAGGACTGAAGCTAGCAGTTAAGACACATGGTATAAAGTTAAATCATTTATCCAAATGTATACAGAGATATCAGAACAAGCAGCTGAAACCATCACTTCATTGGAGGGATATGGTGGAGCAAAAAAAAAAATTACTGATTAAGAACAAGTGAGCCTCATTTCATGTTTGTAGTCCTCAAGAAAGAGTGCAAACTTGAATAAAAAAAGCAAGAAAAACTGGCTAAGATCACTTTGAGAGTCATCTTAACAGAAAGAGACTTCAAAATACAAGAAATCTTATTGAAACTAATATGTTGGATGCAAATTAAACTTGGAAAAAAGGAAAAGAAAATGAAGTGCAGAAACTTTGTATGACAGGACCTGAAGCATTCTAACAACAGAGAGAAAATAAGTATACAACAGACCCAAATGATTTAAACTATGGAGAAATCAGGGTGGAAGAGACAATGCTGTTCAAAACACCTCATAAATGTTAGCCTCCACTGCAGCCTAGATGTTCCAAGAAGTATAAATCCTAGCCTATGCACACATGGAACTTACCTCTATTCCCATAAATCAGAAATTTCTAAGAACAAAAAATATACTTTCAACAGACCAAGATCTGGCAGATGCCAATCTTTGAGGAAAAAGATCCATGAACTTTTCAAACAATGTAAGTGGAACACTGATCTTAAAAAGAGAAAAAGGGTCAACAAGTCCTCTAAGATAAGAAGAAATGACCAGTGGATGTCCTGAAATTTACCAGAATCATAATTTAAACAAAATGAGTAAGAATAACAAGGTTGTTATGACAAAAGAGCAGCCATAAGGCCACCATTACAGCAGATAAGTTATCATTTTCCTAAACTGAAAATGTATTTCCAAACATAGTTACCTCCACTGACACAAATAGCTATTTCTCGATCTTCATTTTTGACATTTAACATGGTGTTCGCTTGCTTCAGTCTTAATATAAGAATACATAATTATTATAATTATTATAAAAGTAAATAAAATGTAAAAATTGAAATTTTTATAGATTAGATTAGGTAAAATAAAGAATAATGCTAACAGTTTTTCAAGAGGTATGCTCTTGAGCAACTCACGGGCAGCCTATATGTTACGTAACTCTCCAAGATAACGTGAACTCTTATGTTCACTAACTGATTTACAAATTTTATGGTGGGAATATTAACTTAGGCATGGTTGAAAGTTTAAGTAAAAACAGTTTTATAATGTTATGAGTTTAAAGCTATTTAGGATAAACAAATGTAGTTTCAGTTACAATCTGAGGTCATTCTCGAAAGTAAAAAAGAGTAATTGAAATTTTTTTTTATGGTTACGAGGTCGATCAAATTGACCAACATTGTAGATAGTTAGGGTAGAGAAAATAACAGGTAAAATATAAAGTATCACTGAAAAAAAATTGTTTGAAATTTATTTAGGAGGTTATAGAGATTAAGCAATTGAAATTTCAGATTTTTCAGATGAAGGAAACATTTTTAGTCTTAACATAAAAATCACTTTGAACTCAGAACAGTCAACACCTTGACTCCATATATTCAAAGGGAAATTTTCATGAAAATATTTCATCAACAATTCTGATTTTTTGTCTACAAATGACTCTTAATGCTTAATTTCATGAAGATATACAAAACATAATAGAAGTAATAGTATGGAACTCTAAAGGTCAATTTTGGGTCACCTTTAAAGTCCAATCAACCAAGGCCATAGTGAGAGAGAAAGTTAATAGTCAAAATTGTGGACCTTTATAAGTCAAAATTCAAATGCAAATTTCAGATTAGCTGGTATACATTATAAAAGAAAATGGAATGTCAGTAACGAAACCAAACTACCAAAGTACATTACATTTCTATCATGTGCAATCAGAAATATCCTCCATATGTATAACACAGTAAAGCTAGATTGACAAATCAACTAAAATTTAGTAATATGTTATCTGTTCCTCAGAAAATTGTGCATGCAAAAATTAAAGGAAATTAAAAATATATTCCACTCAATGGTGAAAGTGAATAAAAATGAAGTATGTGAGCCATAAAGACAAATAACGTGCATAAACTTCTTTCTATAGTAATAAGTCTGGGATACATAGTTTACTGATCAATTAACATGAAAAAAAGACCTACATATCTGAAAGGAATAAAATCACAAATGCAAAAGTGGTCTAAGAGAATCATGAGAAGAGCTTCTATAACATATCTTCCACATATCTCATTCAAATATAGTGTGTGTGTCATCTGTTTGTAATGATTATGGGCCCATCAGTGAACTGATTGCACATTTAAAACTGGACTATATACATATAAAAACACTATTCTCACTTGATTGTTCATCTGTTGTTCTGATGATGTCATCCATTTTTCTGTACCTGGCATCATACAATGTCCACTCATGACCATAATGAGAACGGCTGACTAAAAAAACATCTGGAAGTTCACTCACCAATTCTAGCAGGCTATAATAGCCCATAGATTCATAATCTAGCTGAAGCTGTGTAACTTTCTAAAAAAAAAATAAGCAGTTTAAATACATAGCATAGAATACTGGTAATTGCTAATAAAGAAACATAAAACCATTGCAAGTTTGTTTTTCCACTTCTTAAAATATTTATCAATTGTTTCATGCTAAAAGGTTGTTAGACTTTCACAAAACACTGTACACTGAGAAGACAATTTTTACATACAAATTAAAAATATAATTTTAAAGATGACATGGAATGGATGAAGAAAGTTATAATTTTCCTACATTAAAAATTTATTTCCGATAGATACCCCATCTCACACAGCTATTCTCATTCAGTGGCGTCCTCTATATACAACAATTTTTCACATGCCACAAGCCTTGAAACTCCCACCTACCCTACAATCCACATGGTTCCCAGCATCTTCTCATGTAAATCATCATGCAACAACCCTCCACAACTAGGAGTGTGATACAGCCTCCTGACGCTGATTCTCTCTATTCTATTCTACCTATCACTTCGAGATTAGCAGAAAACAAGCACCAGTTTTAAGTGGGGAGGAAGGGTGAGAAGTGTGAGAAGAGGAAAGTACATCCAAAGAAGGAGAGAAAACTTGGTGGGTTCAAACCCCAATCTCACAAATGAATGTATGATTTCCATCCACAAACAGTAGTGTGTGGAAAAATAAAATGGATGTGCCCCATGGTGTAGAGTGGCTTGGGCATGTCAGACTGTAGCCAGCAGGTCAACTCCAGTCCAAAACCAGACAGCATCGAGCATACATCATCCAACCCTTGGTAGGAGGAGGGTCCACACTGTCTTCACCTCAAGTTGAGTAGAACAGATTGAGACAATTTCCATACCATCTACAAAACAGGGAACATGTGTGCAAAACCACAACTAGTCATTGGGAAACCTGATGTCTGAATGATGGAAGGAAGGAATGTGCCAACGTGGTGGTTCATGTCAAATCCAAAACCAATCAGACTTGTTCCACACAGCACAACACCAGCCTCAGGTAATGAACCCCCTGAGGTGGAGTGCTAGAGTGACAACATTTGATCCTTGCAACATCATCCTTCGAATAGGACCACACAGAAGCTGGAATGCTTGTGCACTCAACCTCCAGAATCCACCTCACAGAGGTGGAATGCATGTTGGAAAGATGCACAACAACATCCCCTGGATAGCACCGCACAGGAGCTACAATGCAAATTCAACTTCTGGAAAGAGTACGTACAAAAACAGCCTTTGTTTCTCCTTTACAGAAGTTACAGACAAAAAGTGTAAAATATTGATAAACTGCAGAGAACTAAATATAACCTGCATTATGTGATGTTAGTATTAAATCCAAAATGGCATTATCTCTAGTTGGTTCCTTCACTAGTTGAGGAAGATAGCTGTCCTATACTAATTCAATTTTTTCTGTTCAGTACATGACACCATACCAATCCAGTTAATAGTTATAATTTAAAATCTCCCATAATAATAACCTCTTTATTAAAAGCATTTTAATTTTCTGAAAAAGCATCACATTAACATACTGATTCTAATCAATTGGCCTATATAAGTTTCCTAACACTAAATCTTCTATCCTTATATTTATGCATAGACAATTATTAAAAAAACTTACTTTATATTTTAGCAAGAAGGAGAAAAGTCGATGTTTAAGAAGTTTTTATCTCAAAACCTGAGTAATTTACATAAATACTCTACAAGTTAATATGACACTTCAGATTTCAGTTTACTTTATTAATTATTTTAAGTATAATCTGCAACATAAGTCTGTAACAGCGAAAAATTTTTTGTATTTCTTCAAGATTGAGTTCAATTGTGAAATCAATACTGAAACTAAAATGCTTTTTCTTTAAATAACAAAAACATTTACACAAGTGCGTTAGAGTCAAATAATCTATATATTTGGGTGTGTTTAGGTCACCACTTTACTAAAATATCTTACTATAATAGATGTAGCGTGAATGTAATTATCTATGTATGTAACCAAAACTCCTGCACTCTCTCTTGAATGGCACAAAAAACAAAAATCCATAAAAAAAAAGTTTATACTTTGGGTATTCATAATTCAGACAATAAGAAAAATAACTGATATGTGCAACAACCATTTCTTTATAATAGAACAATTTTAAATAAAAGAACTCTCCTCACAACAAGAACATGATTTTCACTAGGACTGTATGTGAGGGTTTGATTATCTCTATTTAAGTAATTCTTAAATGTAGAACTGATAAACTGGAGTTCTTATAAAACTATTATTTTTTCAATAAACAGTATCACTTCTAATATATAAAAACATCACACTTTATATCAGTAAAATTTATAACAACTTTGAGCTCTGTACATTGAATCATTTTGATGCAATGAGTTGCGTATGACTAAAGAACATAATCCAAACACTTTTCCCATGCAATTTTATTTATTATTCCTGTAAACTCCCAGTGGAGTATGGGGCCACAACAACACCTCGCCAACGGAAGGTGTTGTTGCAGTTACTTGTAGCAGGTTGGTTTTTACGAGGTGGAGTTGCTAGCACCGCACCCAACCCTCCCTCTTTCTCATCCTGGACTTGGGACCAGGCAAAGGCGGAGGTTGGCATGTTTGGTATGATGGGGATTCGAACCCGCGACCCTCAGATTACGAGTCAAGCACCCTAACCACCTGGCCATGCAATACTTCCCAGAAAAAAATCCTTTTTTAAAAAATGTTCACTTTTTTACATTTATTTCAATGAGGTATGAACACTACAAACAGCTGCCCATAGGGCAGTATTTCTGTTAGTATATACAATGTCTATATTGTTACTCTAGTACAAATAATATATGATGTTAACTCTAGACTTTTCTGTAAATTATGTGTGGTATCAATTCAAGTTATCAATGAGAAAAAGAAAAATACCTAACAACTGGGCCGTATTTGCTGTTCTATTAGTATTTTGATGACCAGGAGGTCATTCTAGAAATTGGTGATTTAGGATTATTTTGATAGATCATGATGAATAAAGCTTGGCACAACTTCTAAAAAAAAACTAAATATTAATGAAAATATGACATGATGAAATCTATATAGATTATACCAGCATTTCCCAGACTATGGGTCGCGACCCACTGGT